TAGGCATATAATCTTTGTTACCGCAGGTGAAAGGAAAATTGTTGATAGATTTTAGTTAATATGGATTAGATTTCCTTTACAGTTCTTCTTTACTTGTAGTGAAAGATCTTCGCTTCAAGTCGTTCTTGATATATGATCCGATACTTATACAAAACTTACTGTTTCTTTAAAAACATTTTCTTAATCTGTTTGAATAGGAGAGTGTCATTATAATTCGCCGAAATTGGTAAAAATTTTTGGTATTTCTACAAGAATTATGATGCGTTGCTCAAACTCTATTAATCTGATGAAAGGAGAAAAAGTGTTTGAGTCAACTCTAACCTAAGAAGTCTCAATCTAGAGTAGACTTGGGTCTATTCAAACCTTGTAGCTTCATTACCTATAGATTAGAACTCAGTAAAACTGAAAAAAACACTATATGGGTTCGGATCGATGCATTATCCAACTAAATTCATGACCGTTTTGATCGATTTTCGACCTTTAGATCAGCTATTCATGAAAAATTCAATTATGAGACTTTTCATCTTTAGATAGATCTCATGTCCACTAGAATATCATGAAACTAGCAACTCAAACAAATGTATTTTTCTTGAGATATCGAGTATCTAACATAACTTGAGAGTGAGTATAGGTGTGATCAGTCACATCTTATAATAATTCATAGAAAATGAGACGGAGTTTTCAAAAATATAAACAAAGCAAACCAATGAAATATAGACCAAAAACGTTTCCATCCATATAAGTCTCTAACTTTGTATACGATTTGCATTTCCTATTTACATTCAATCATTATAATAGAAATGAAGTAAGTAATACCGAATAGACCATTTTTATAGATAGCAACAACTCGATATAAAACCACTCGTTTTGTAGATTTCATGATTCAACAACACAGAGAAATAAGGGTTGTCACGAAGAGCGACTCATCGCTCTACGATATGATAGATTTATTTACATTGTTAAATTGAAAGATCAAAATAAATATTAGTTCTAAATCAAAACAGTGACTTTTTATAGAATTATGATTTCATTGATCTTTTTTGTTTACTTCATTCTTAATCATTAATAGGAGAATTCGCTTTTCTGTAGTACAAAGGAGATCAATTTTAAAATAAAGAAAAAGGGTGTTGATGTGTGACAAGAGAAAGGTTCGCTTCCACACCCACACTCACACTATCAATATGGATATACGATACCAAACAGTGGAAATATAAAAGCTACCGAAGAGAAGATGAGAGCATCCAAAAAAGAACACCGAAAGGAGTTGAATACAAAAACTAGAAAAGAAAAGGTGGATATGTCTATCTGAGCAAAAATATATATAGATACTTATATAGAACAAAGCATGAATAGATCAACAGATAAAAACCGCTGATAACTCATAGTAATCGTACTTATTTTTTACAGATACTTGACTGATATATCTTTTCCCATGATGCATTAATGTCTATCTAGAATTAAGCACACAAAGTAAACGATAGATCAGGAAAGAAGTTTAAGACCAAGAGCAACAATCAATTTTGTTTCTGTTGTAGAAAATTTATTAATGCATTAACAACAGTTGAATTTATTTCAAGACAATAAAACAAAATCTCGAAAACAGGAAAATCTGTTTGTGAGAGCCAAAATACTTTTCTTGCCAAAAAAATGTGTGAGCATGAAGCTCATTCATATTCTACGCACAGTAATCTCAACCTCAACCCTATACAAAGCACAAATTCCTTGCCGTGTAAGGTATGTTCTTTTCCACTGAATAATGTATGTTTATACTTATACTTCGAATATATGTCTGAATTTCAAAGAGAAAGTATACAGACCGAGCACAGTATAAAATAATGAGCATTAGGACTTCACTGAATATGCTTTTATTTGAGACAGATCTCCTCTTATGTGAAGTATTTGGATGTACACCACTTTAAGTATGCCTTGCAGCTGTAAAAATGAATTTTTTTTTTGTAAAGAAAACCTAAAAAATTTTCTTCAGAGTATATTGCAAAAAAAGAACTAACATATTCTTTACATACGTGTTTTTTTATTAAAAAATACAACTGTAATGAACTGTTCTTTCCTTTTAACTTTATCTTATATATTGCCCAATCATGAGCTAACGTACCGCTAATGAAGAAACGTCTCCCAATGTGAAGTTCATCGACAGTTTCACGCACGTCATTTTTGCACACGATGCTTCCATGCAAATCGCTTTTTTTTGTTTAGTTTACATGAAATTAATGGCTTTCCCAAGCTTCATAAAGAACGATTTATGGGGTGTTTGGTGTGCTTGTGAAAGAAGCTGTATCTGGACACACCCTTGCACACACCCATTCCTTCATGTATTTAAGTCTTACATATACAACACAAGATCATAGACCACTAGTTAATGAAAATTTAAAATTGAAATGAGAAGATGATGTAATTCATTGATTTCTAATAAAATATTTATTAGTGACGGTTTTCAATGATAAATCTTCAAAATTATTTATTTTTGGTGTATCATAAACATTCTTCTTCTAATAAAAATTCATGTCGACTAATGATAATCATATTTACTACGAAATTTCGCAATTTTTATTTTACAAAAGAACAATTTGTTTGTGTTAGAAAGACAAATAAAAGAAGATCATTCAATTTGTGAATTGATAACATTGAAACGATAAATTGTTGTAATTTACAAAGTGAAAATCTATTTATTTGTAATTATATCACTTATTTGGTCCTTAGGAAAAATAGAGTAGTGAACTTATTTTTGTCTTCTAATGTACTATCAGTTTCGTTCATAAGATGTTGATTGAATTCATTTTCAATATGTTGTTAAAGTACTGTATACAATTAAAAATATCGATATCGTATTATCCAACTGATTTTTATTGTCGTAGTTGCTTTTAACTTTAGTTAAAACAATAAAATTATTACTTGCCAAGAAAAAAAATATATTGAGTCAGAATGATATTCAGCTTTTCATACAATGCCTTTTCAATTTTGTCGTTCTGTTTAAACATATAAAAATTTATTCCATTTCATTATTTCATCATCACCTTTGGTGAAAAAATCAATAACCATACAAAAAGAATCTTAATTAATACATGAGTACAAAAGATATTTACAATCTTCTTTTTAAAGCAAAAAATTTGTTTATTAATCAATTCGTGTTGTTTTTTTTTCGTTCTTTGCTGATGTTGTCTAAAAGAATTTTTAATAAGAAAACGAACCATGACAACAAATAAGCCTTCAAAGAATAAGAAGTAGAACAAATTTCTATTGAATAATCTAGTTCATCAATAATGGATGAAAAAAGAAGTAAAAACAAAATTTTTAACATATCTGGAAAATCAAGCATTATAAAAAGATATTGACAGATATGAATTTTATACTAACATATACTATGAAATTTGGATGTCAGTAGTATTCTTTGAAAGGAAAAAATCATTGTGATTTTATTATCAAGAAACTATACTCATGTACAAACCTTGTCAAACACTATTATTGGACAAAGCATAATAACATTGCAATCTTCTCAGAGCACGTATTGCATATGTGCCTATATGTGAAAACCATAATATTTTATTTTAGAATTAAAAAAGAAGAATCTATTTTTAGAGATAACTTATAAATTCTTAGATTTCTGTTAGTAACTTTTCTATTTATGATTAACAGATTATAGGACTAATGTCAGATTCAATGAGGACTGACTGTTGTCCATATTAACTTTCATAAAGAATATATAGATGAATATTCAATAGTATTTAATAAATTTTTTCAAGTGAATAGTTTGTATTCAGTACTAAATTTAGAACATATACTGTAAAATGAACTTTTATTTTAAAAATAAATTCAATTGCTTTCATTTGATCATGAATATATATTTTGACTTTAGTCTATTGATCTATCGAAAGAAATTTGCATGTGTTGAGAATGAATTTTTTTGATAACAGACAACTAGATGTTGCTTGACTATTGGTAACACATCTCGATGTGATTGAATATTAATCAAGTTTAAAATAACTCAAATAATAATCATCATCAGTACGGTTTCGCATACTATTACATGCAGGCGTTTGCAAATTCGATTCACTTCTTCATTAAAAAAACTCTTCTTCTTTCGTCACAAACTTTGAAAAAGCAAAAGAAAACAACAGAAGTCATATTTCATATGTGCCTCAAACTACAATCATCCCAGCGAGAAACAATAACACTGAAGAACAACTGATACTATTCCGATAAGAACTGTGTCTACAGGTATTGAAATTTATTTCATCAATGTGTTTGCAATTATGAGAATCTATGGCTTAAAGAAAATAATCCAGTTTCGTAGTGATATTTATATTGAATTCTACTTTGAAGTATTTGTTGAATAGAGGAACTTGAAAAGTAGGTTATTCTTGCAAACTAATGCATCTAATTGTAGTTCACATATGGCAATATCACGAGAATAAAGGTTCAAAAACATGCAAGCCATGGATTCATAATATCAAAAAAAATTGCATTAAATTGAGAAACAGATATTTTCATTAGTTTAATGTCATGATTTTGATCGAAAATCAAAGTCCTTGCATTTTCTTCATTAAATTGTCCATAGAAATAAATGGATATATAGAATACATTAATTTTTATGCTCGTTTCATCTCTTGTAGCATCATTTCTCTCGTAAATTTGGTAAAATATTCACGAAAGTCATGAAACTATTTCCGAATTTTTAAGCTCATGGATTACAATATCATTTTTTCTTCAATTAAAAAAATCAGTTCGCTGCAAACTTATATAGAAAACATATCTTTTTTTTTTCGCTTGTTGAGAAAATATCTTGTTAAGAGAAGGTGTTTTTCAATGTACACTCTACTCAACAAAGAATAAATTTATGAAATTTTCTGATGTACTATTAACATTTGGTTTTCGTTATACGATATTGTTCGAAACATTTGTCTTTGTAGATTTTGATTCATTGATTTAAGTAGTGACAAACAATGTACTTCGGTCTGTTCATATTGTATTGTTCTTTCGCTTTCATGGGTGCAAAACATTTCAATGGGGGAAGTATCGGATGGGCTCCTGTTGATCCTTATGATAATTCCACGTCAGTTAATATTACTATTACACAGACTTATTCATGGACATATCCATATATAAAATGTGCCAATAATGTGCCGAGCTCGACTAGTGGATGGAGCCGTGCCAACACTAATCTAACTTGTGTAGTTGATTGTTCAACTGATGGTGGTTATTCTACTAAACCAATTGATATTCTTACCGATTGTATATCAGCTAGTTCATCGATGAAAATGATGACAAGTGAACGATCAAAAAGTGTTACTCTATCTGCTGATGCACACTTTTATATAGCTTATAGAGGAAGTGCTTGGGTAGCATTGAATGATCCTGCTGAACAAGGTCTTGACTGGTCTATTGTAACGTACATTGATCTTCGTAAACGACCAGATGGTTTCATTAATACTCCACCTGTGGCCAAAGTTGTTTCTCCACAATATGCCATTGTAAATAAAACAATACAAATAAAGATTCCTGTGTCAGATGCGAATGCTGGTGATGATGTACGTTGTCGATGGTCAACATATACAACTGGATATCGAAGACGAAAACGATCCGACCAAGAAGAATATATCAAGCATCGATCAAATGTTCATTTTCAGAGCGAAGCAGCTAGTGATAGAGAATTCATTCATATTAGAAAAAAAAGAGCAGGTTGTGGTGGTGGCTGTGGCTCTTCATGTGTATTTGGCTGTGACTGCGGTTGCAATGGTTGTACTGGCACATCATGCACTGGTGCGACATGTGCTACTACTGGAGGTTGTCTTGCGACAACCTCAACGCAGGCCACAACCACAACCGTTACAACAATAACAACCGTCGCAGCAACCACAACCGGTGCGACAACAACCGTTGCAACGACTACAACCGTTGCAACGACTACAACCGTTGCAACGACTACAACCGTTGCAACGACTACAAGCGTTGCAACAACCACAACCGGTGCGACAACAACCGTTGCAACGACTACAACCATTGTATTAACAACAACTCTTGTGATGACCACAATTGGTGCGACAACTACAACCGTTGCAGCGACTACAACTGTTGCGGCGACTATAACCGATACGACAACCACAGCCGTTGCAGCAACGACAACAGGTGCAACAACTACAACTGATACAGCAACCACAGCTGTTGCAGCAACGACAACAGGTGCGACCACTACAACCGATACGACAACTACAATCAATACAACTACTACAGAAACTCCCGGAACACCAAGATCGACTTCGACGTATCCAATTCGTCAGGCGATTGACGAATGTGGTGGTATTTGTTATCCAGGCAGTGTACCTAATGGTACAACAATGTCTAACTGTACTATCACATTCACAGGCCATAAAGCTGGTGTCTGGTATGCAGTGGCTATTCAGGTAAACAGATTGTTATTCATTCGTCCCTAATTCTTCAACCACGGTCATTAAGTTATTTATCGTTATTGAGGACTTATGGCTAATATTAGTTTAATTGGACATTTAATCATCTGATAACAGTATTTCACCCTTGTTGAGCCACTTTATTAATTAAAAGCCTATACACAATCAATCGTATTAGACACTGATCTAGAGAAAAAAAATGATGTTTTGAATATCAAAAGAATAAGATATCAGCTTAAGTTTATGAAAAAATTTAATATTGATGTATAGTATAGAATGATTGTTTCGTTTTCTACAGGTTGAAGATTTTATTGATGGAACAAGTACAACACCATTGAGTTCAGTACCAGTTCAGTTTTTGATTTATGTTCAAGCACAACCAGCTTGTTCAATCGAACCTGTAATTATTCCTCTAGATCGTTGTCTAGAAGTACAAGTTGGTGTCACAATCAGCTTTAATCTATCTGCAATGAATTTATGTAATCAGACTGTAGCTACACTTACTGATATTGTGGTTTCCAGTGGAATTACTGGTATGACTCATGGTAATCTTACACATTCGTCAACAAATTCATCGATCTCCTATATCACGTTCACTTGGATGCCACAGACAAATCAAATTGGATCACAACAGTTATGTACAGTAGCAT